AAATCTTTATTAAAGGACTCTCTACAAATACTTTGTCGTTACATGCTTCAGAAAACATACCAATTGTTTGAATGCCTTCATCCACTGTAGTGAGCAGCTGTAGAATATGCATATAAACTTCAAGTCCTTCGGAATTGTTATCTGAGCTGCAGTAAAGCATTATGAATTTTAGTTAGAATTATTCATTAAGAAAGATTTGTGTGTCTCTGTATCTATATGAGGAAACTCACAGTTGAAGGGTGACATATTGCTGAAAAAAGCAAATATCTATTGAAATTTTTCTACAGTGATATCCAGAGGTGGGCATCACATAATGTAACAACCAGTTTGCCCAGAACCAAAAATGTGAGCTTGCATGCATACAGAATCCAACTTATGGCAATTAAAGAGGATGGGATAGTGCCGGGGGTGGAGGTGGGGCGAGGGGAGGAGCCCAGCCACTGGTCGGAACTACCAGTTCGCCTAAACTGATTTGAACCAGCAACAGCCCACCTCTGGTGATTTCCAAGAAAGTTAAACTCCAACATTTCCATTTAAAATTGACATGATTTGGTGTTTTCACTATAAAAGGCAGATAAAAGTAACCTGAACATTACTTGTCCAATATGAAAAAGGTGCCTTAAATTTCTACGCTTGCATGCATACTGACAGATGCTTACCAAACTTGTTTTGCAGCTTCAAGCAGACAAGGTAGAATTTTAAAATTAGGGACATCATCTGGAGAATCAACTGTGGGCTGCTCCACTAATGGACAAGAATCTTTTTTAATCCAGTTTATCATTAATTCTTCATCCAAATCAAACAACTTATCAACCACTTCACCAACTTTCACCAGCAAGTCCACTGAAACAAAAATTAAAGTACAGTTAAATTAAGACCACATAAACTACAAAGCAGAATTCAGAAAGTAAAATATTTTAATACGCTTAGTATACTATGCTATATTACTAGCTAATAGTAATTTGGATGTTTGCTGCTTTGAGAATCTTTATAGTATTAGTAAATGAATATAATTTTATTTTCAACTAAATAAATACAAAATGACCAGAAAAGTAACACAAGTAATGTTTTTTTTCTTTTTCTTAACTTGTATACTACTTCTTTCAACTTACTCTGCAGGAGTGTTAAAATAAAGCATGGCATTAAGAATTAAAATGTGGATTTCCAAAAATCAGTTTAATGCTATTACTAAATATCAGAGCAACATTTTGGATTTGAAGGCCAAAATGTGCTTTGGGGTATAAAAGGGCATGCACATACCATCTGTCTACAACTTTTTAATTGGAAATGTTACATATTTACCTTTCATATCTTGTACTCTTCCCCTTTTAGCCTATGTTTACCTTTTAAAATATATTTAGGACAACTTAGAAAATCAGAAAATCAGTGCCACTTATGGCACTTACAACTGAGGGTCCTTTTACCAAAAACTTGGATTGCTAAAGATTCCAGAAAGATGTTTCCATTGTTCCTTCAGTTTGGAAACGTAAGTGCCAACAGTACTTTATGAAGATCTAACCACATTCCTACTTTATATTAATGTAAATATAGTATGCTATTGACAACCCAAAGATATTATAACCATAGGAAAAGAAGGCACCAAAAACTACTCCACTTATTCACATGGTTTCGCTATATCGTGGATTCTTTGTTTCTTAACTAAGAATGCTTTAAGCAAAATTTTCCCTACAAATAATTTAATATTAGATTCCCATATTAGGCGTTTCCTTACTTTAAAAATGCTCTGATGCAATAAAATACATTCTTCATGTATTAGCTTACCATTTGTAGAACTAGACATGATAAAGCAGAAACAGTTATAGACAGACGGACTTTGTCTGATTCTTTCCACCCAAATATTAGCCACTTCATATTGACAGAGGCAAGTCAACAGTAACCTAAAACACAAATGGAAATTTAACAATGTGAGATTTTTTTGAAAAGCCCAAATTTATTTATCAGTCCTAGGAGCATCTAAAGGTAAGTTCATTAAATCTATTCCTAAATTAACTTGCATAGGGTTTCACTCTTCAGTTTTTATCATGATGTATGTTGATTAGACATGCAATTAAAATTAAAAGCAAATAAATGATATATGAAATCAATTTAAGTGTGAAGACCAAGTAAAGGGAAAGTAAGAATACCGTACAGAAGTCCTGGAAGCATCCTATCAAGTTCAGTAGCAATTCTCCAAAGTAAAATTAATAAAAAGTAAATCTACTAGCTTTCTAATTGCTTTTTAATTTATATTGCTAACGGAGACTAAAGTAATACCGTGCCTTAATAAACTGCTCTGGGGACCAGTGGTCATGAGGAGGTAGACCATGAAGAAAAATGACAGATCATTTAAATCATTTACCGAAAAGAAGATCAACTAGATTCCTTACTTTTTGCCAACTAGAATACTCAGATATCCATGACAGTTGCCATGGACTGGAAGGATTAGAAGCAGCAAACTTCATTATCAGAATAATAATTCTTAAACTATCTATTGTCCAAAAGTATAAGGATCAAAAATAGCCACTTCAGCAAGGCCTCTAGAAAAGGAAGATCAAGCCATGCTGAATAGAATGGGTTGTATGTATGTATGTATGTATGTATGTACGTACGTACGTACGTACATACATACATATATAGAGAGAGTATATAGAGTATGTATAGGCTATGTGTACATACACACACACACCAGTATACGTATATTGCTCATCATCTTTATGGTCTTAAAGAACTAGTCCTCCTTTTCACATTGAGTTATTCCAACTACCAGCTTAATCTTGGTTTGTATAAAACAACCATACAGAGAGTTGACCAAATCAGAAAATTGCATTTCACTGCAACAGAAACTACAAGTTTGCATATAGCGTACACAAACATCATGGTTTACCTATTTCCAGGTAAATCAGAATTCTACCATTCTAGCTTACCATTGCCTCTTATGCCAAAGGTATTTTAATCACTCAGAAACAAACAAAAAGAAACTTACCTGCTTGTTTCAAGCAGAGTCGGGGAATCAGAATCACATAAATGATGAAGCACTATTTGTCTGGAAAAATCATGTATCGGTTAAGCAGCATATAACATGAGACAAACATTATTTTCTATGCCTTTACTCAGACATCGGTCAATGTTTCCTGAGCCTTCCCATCCTTAACATTTAGAATTGTCAAAATAAAGTACAAGGGAAATGTTGGAGGTTGTTTTACTACAGGTAGTCCTCA